ATGACACAGTCCCAAAGTTATGAAAGTTGCAGCACCACAGCAGTGGTTCACACTTATGAACAACCGCAGAGGCACTGCAACATTTGCCCTGCCTATTACCTTCCCGCTGGGTCTCCACAGGATCTGGGTCTGTGGAGACTCATTTACCTTGCGACGATCTAGCAAGCCATCAGTTCCTTTGCCTGCTTTGGTGCATTTGCGGAGAACAGAGGACTAAAGTAGTATGAGATCATGCAAAACCAGTAGTGTGAGATGTGCTACTTATCTCCTGTGATCTCACACTATAGTATTTAGGCCTCTCTTCTTGGCAAACCAAGGCCTGCATGAGATACAGGGCAAAAGACTTTGCAAATAGAGGGAAGGCCTCTCCATTTGCAAAGCCTTTTGCCACTGACTGGTTACAGTACTGAAGTACTGTAGTGTGAGATCACATGAGATCTCATGCTACTGATCTCACATGATCTCACACTACTTTAGGCGTTAGTTCTCTGTGAATCGAGGCTGCACGAGCTCCACGGCAAAGGGCTTTGCAAATGGAGGGAAGGCCTCTCGTTTGCAAATTCTTTTGCCATGGATCTTGTGCAGGCCTTGGTTTGCTGAAAACAAAGGCCTAAAGTACTGTAGTGAGAGAGAACGCAAGATCAGTAGCACGAGATCTCACATGATCTCACACAACAGTACTTTAGGCCTCTCTTCTCGGTAAACCAAGGCCTCTACCAGATCTGGCCAAAGAGCGTTTGCAAGCTGACAAAACTTTGGGGTAGTGAAATTACATTGCTTCAAGTCTTGTTGGATTGCAAATGCTTTTTGTGCTGAGACCGGAAGCTTCTGGAGGCCGTGACATCCGAGCCCCCAGAAGCTTCCAGTCTTGGCTTGAAGGCTTGAAGCAATATGATTTGCCCCAAAGTCTTGTCAGCAAATGCTTTTCGTGCTGAGAGTGCAAGCAGGCAAAGAAACCGCAACAGGCTGGATAGGAGACAGCTCGCTAGATCTTCACAAGGTAAGTGACCCGGCGAGGAAAGATGGGGGGAGTAATTCTGGAGACCCCAGGCAGGGAGCATGAGATATCTCAGTGGGTTGGAGACCTTAGGTCAAGGGTCACCAACCTTTTGGACCTCAGGGACCACCAAACTCATAATTTTAAATCCCGTGGACCACTAATATGAATTTTGACTGACAATGGCTTGCTGATGTTGGTGGGAAAGTCGGTCCCATATTCCAGTGCTGCAGTAGTCACAGGACTGGCCCTTTGGTCATCCCGGAGCTCTGCAGAAAAAGCAGAAGCAGCAGAGTTCCTGGGAAAATCCCCCAAAAAGACTGCAGGAAAATTCCTCACCCCATTTTCCTGCCAATCGATCATTCTTTATTTGGGATCGCAGGATACCAGCTCCAGCTCTGTTCTCAACGGGAGAGAAAGAGAGAGAGAGAGAGACTTCTGGCTTCATGCAGGGAAAGCAGCAGAAGCAGCAGAAGTCTTTCTTTCTCTCCCCCAAACTCTGCCAGAAATTAGTCTTTGTGAGACTTGTCGCATGAGTGCAGCCTCTTGGAGCAGGATGCCTTGCAGGGTCCCAAAAAATTCATTTCTGGTGGAGTTTGGGGGAGAGAAATAAAGACTTTTGCTGCTTTCCTTGCATGCAGCCAAAAGCAGAAGAAGAAAAAAGCGGAAAGAAGCAGCCCGGTGGCCAGGCCAGGCGCATGGGGCGAGTGGGGCAAGTTCCCCCCCTCTGCCCTTTCCCCCCCACTACCTCGTGTTGTTCGCAATGCAAGTGACATATGCCTTGTGTTCCCATGGGCCATGGGAGAGGCAGAGCCTTGTGTTCCCGCGCAGCCTGGATTAATTGCTTTGGAGGGGTGCTTTGGGGGTAACATTTCTCTGCGGACCACCAAAATTTTCTCACGGACCCCCAGTGGTCCCTGGCCCACTGGTTGGTGACCACTGCCTTAGGTGGTCTGAAGTAGGTGGCTTGTTCCATCACTACCCCCCCATGGCCTTCCCCATCCTGCGATACCTCATGTACACTTAATGACCTGAGCATTTGATTATTGAATGGGTGAAAGCAGGGAGTGATCATGTTTATTTTATATGATTCCAATGAATCCCCAGGTTATGAATTTACTGGGCAGTTTCCATTACCATGTAACTAAAGGATTATCTGTAAAAATAATAGTCTCCCAGGTTTTTAATGGTTTTAAACAACCTTCTTTAACCTTTCACACTCTGCACCAGTGGTTCTCAATCCCAGCAACTTTAAGTTGTGTAAACCTCAATTGTCTGGAGAATTGTGGAAATTGAAATCTCATATCTTAAAAAACGGCTGAGGTTGAGAAACACTGTTCTAGATGCTGGGATGTAAGTCTTAGAATTCTTACAAAAGTCTGACCAAGATAGAACATGAGAGCCAGTTTATTGATTTTGGGCCAGTCACTGTCCCTCAGTCCAATCATTCTCACAGGATTATTGTCGTGGGAAAAATAAGAGGAAGGAATATTGTGCGTGTTTGCCACCTTATAAAAATAATAAAGGTGAGATATAAGTAATTTTAAAAAATATTGCTTCGTGCATATTTCTTAGAATATAGAAGACTTTAATTTTATAACAGCAGAATTTTAATGTTTCATATCTAAATTCACTACCTGCAATGATACTGTAATGAAGAATAATTCTACACAAGTGAAATCCCTTATAAATGTTTTGAAAATCAAATGATATTTAAAATGGTCTTCTTCATTTTATTTGTTTGTTTGATGTACAAGACACTCAGGATTTTTTCCCCATGCAATAACCTAAGGTTTGAATTTCTTCTTCTAAACAGGAAATAAAGAAAAATAAATTACATTGTTCTTTTTTTTAATTTAAGTTTTTATTGGTTTTTAAAAACAAACATAAACAAACAAAACATAAAAACATCAAGCCATCTTCCATATGTATACATACATTGTTCTTAATGGATGCCATTTTTCATTTATAGATCACTAGGGAGATTTCACTTAATGTATTTGCAAAGCAGTTTAATCTGGTCAGAAAGATCAGAACTTTAGAAGTAATATTGTTTACTGTGTTAATATAAAAACAAAGGTTATAATGAGCAATTTATGCATTGACTATAACATTTTTTTTCTTTCAACAGTCATAGATACACAAATCATTATTTCTTGAAGATGTTTTATTGGTAGATATAATTGATTTTCAGAACTAAGTTAGGTAACGATGTATAGTAATTGTTGATTAATAAAATAATTCAGATGGAAATTATCTATATGGTTGAGACTCTGATGTGTCTCTCCAGAATTGAAATATTTCAATAATATCTGGAAGAAAGGTAAAATAAAATGTAATTTGTGACCAGCCGTGCTAATTAGTTTTCAGAATCTTCAGAAGCTTTAAAAAGTTTTTCTAGTATTTTTGGTTAAATGTTACCTATTATATAGTTGTGCTAAAACTGTCTTTTAACGGGACCACAAGAAAAAAAGATTAAATTATTTTTAGACTACATTTACTTTATTGTCTTCTTGGTTCTATATTGAGAGACAGGATAATCAAAAAACTAATACAGTCATAATCCCTAATTAAAGCCAAATAAAATAGTAGTGCCTGCATTATATGCACTTGTTTCTTCACTGCTGCAAGTCATTATTATCTTCAGTGTTTATGTAATATAGTGCATCAGTGTTTTTTTAAACTTGGCAACTTTCAGATTCATAAAGAAGGAGTTAACATTTCAGTAGGTGCATTTTCAATATAGAATAGCTCAGGGGTGGGATTCAATTTTTTTAACAGCCGGTTCTGTGGGCGTGGCTTAGTTGATGGGCATGGCTTGGTGGTCATGTTATTGGCTGGGCGTGGCCAAGTCAATATTACTCACATCTAGGCACGCATCTCCTCGCCTGGCCTCTCATGACTGTGGGGATGCTGCAACAGTCGCAAGTGTGAAAAATGGTCATAAGTCACTTTTTTCAGTGCCATTGTAACTTTGAATGGTCACTCCACACAAGCAAAGTACCAGCAAAGGAGGGGGAAAAAACTTCAGAGAAATTCCTGAGACAGGAAGTCTAGTCCTGCCAAGAATGTAATAAGGGTTAACGGAGAGGCAGTGTCTGTAAGCAACACCTGAATGTTTCCTTCCTGCCTTCCTTACAGGATTAGGCCAGTAATTTCTTCTAACAACCGGTTCTCTGAACTGCTTAGAATGTTAACAACTGGTTCTAGCAAATAGGTGCGAACTGGTAGAATCCCACCCCTGGAATAGCTATTAGTGAATTGTCTGTAGCTACTTAAAGTGTCCTTTAGGGCTTGTTCCAAAAGCATTAAGGCCTTTGGGAAGATACTCATTCAAAGTAAGGAATACAGCAATAAGTATTATGGATAGAAAAGAATATTGGTTCCAAAATAAAGATTGGAAAATAGAAAACTGAGCAAAATCAAATTGTATAGATTTGCTTTCTCTTTTATACATTTTTTTAATATTTTAAAAAGCTTATAGAAATTCCTCTTAGCTTTGAGCTGTATTTTGTAGAATTATCTTCCCTGCATTTAGAACTGAATAATTTTGAAAATAAAACCATGCATTAATTAAAGAACACTTTAATGTCTTTAAAAGAAGGGTAGAAAAAAAATCAGAATTGCAGAGTATGAATAATAAGCACAGTACACTGGACTTTAGGGCAACGATAGGGATAATTTGAGAGGTTTTAACTGTCTGTTCTGCTATTCATTTTATAGATGTGCACAAGTCACTAATGCCTCCATAAGCTTTAGCTATAGTTGGCAGGATAGTTGACAATGTCAGTGGAAAGCTAATGTGCTTAAAAGGAACTGAAATTGCTTCACGCTACTTTCTAGTAGGTAGTATACTGACAAGATAAAATCATTAATTGGAAATTATAGTTTGTGGTTGTTCCTGTGTTCTATCTCTAAAAGAATTTAGAAATGTTTAAACTATCTACGTTCTATATGTACTAATTGGGTGACATTATTCAATTGCCTTGCCATCTATTTGCAGATGAACTAAAAGGTTATGGACCAATTTTTGAAGAAGAGCCCATTGATACGGTATACCCAGAAGAGTCTCCAGATGCAAAAGTGTCAATGAACTGCAGAGCCAGAGGAATCCCTACACCTACTTACAAGTAACTAGGGTTGCTTTCCTAATGCTATATTAATAATACTGATTGTACTAATTCAGATGTTTAGTCCAAAAATGCAACTGTGGTGGATAACCCTAGCAAGTTTGGAAAAGTCAGTTTACTAACAACTGCAGAAAGCTTAATGATTTAGTTCCAAAGTTTTGTTACTTTTTCAGAAAGGACATTTTAATTTACAGCCACCTATATCGTTGCTACATGAGTAGCAATGCAAAGTAACATGCAAAGTCAATTGGGAAGTTGGCAGGAAGTCAGAAGTCATGATGGTGATCATGTGAGATCCTCATTTAATAATACCCACACAGTCTTCACTTAACTAAAAGTAATTGGGGATTGCCGTAACTGCTGTTGCTAACTCGTATGGTCAGACATCACACTTTATGATTGCTTCATTTAGCAATGGAAAGCTCCAATTATTATTACTGAGTCCTACCTGAATATTATTTTTTAGCAAATAAAAGTGTACTACAAAAATGAATAGAAAGCAAATGGTAAGAGATGAGCAGTACTGAAATCAATCTGCCCTGTTATTTTTCTCTTTTTTAACATTTATAAATAACAGCACAGTAGGAATCATAGTAAGTATTAAGCTCAAAGATTGAAACCTTTTTCATATGAGGAAATAATTCAGTTGCATTTTGTTTTTGTTTATCAATGTGTATCAAGCTTCGGCTTGATGCCTTGCTAGCATTCTGCCATCGTTCGGGGAAGGCAGGGGGAAACAAATGGGCCATAAAGCTGTATATTTTTATTATGAGAAATTGGAAGGGGGAAATTGACAATTGAGGAGAAACAGAGGGTTTTGGAATCTGGTTCAGGCTGGCATGCTGGCATCTTCAAGGCCCTTAGAGTGGAATTTCACCAACCCAAATGCCTCAGCATTTCCCAAAACACCTCGGCAGTGCCAGATTGGCTAGACATGGATGGACCATGGGAGGGGGGAAGGTTAGGGGAAACCAATGGTATTCTGTATTGGCATGTAGGAATTTTAGATTCTGCTTGATTTAACTGCAATCAGCATCTCTTAGTAAAAGTGCCTTTTTCACTTCAACCAAATGGAGTTCAGAATTTTACTTCCCTAAGGGATCAGACTGGGGCAGGTCTGACATTAAGCGGAATCTGCAGTTGAGGGCATCATGTCTACCATTGTTGTGATCATGCATGCGATGTTGGCTTAAGAGAGAAACCAGGAAGAGATTCAAATGCTACGGGGAGCCTTCATCCAGGCCTCTGTTCAGGCTGGATCTCTCTGAATGGACTAGAAAAAGGGAGATGTGCAGTGATCTGCCAAGACCCAGGTGGTCCCTGAGTGTCAGAAGGAAGGAGGACTGGGAAGAGAAGCCTGCAGAGGTGACTTTTACTTGTGGAAGCTGCAGAAAGCCACTGATGGGAACAGAGAATGGAGCTGGAAGAACTGAAAGAGGAGGAGGAAGAGACAGGTGGAAAGCATGGCCAGGGTGACTGGATGATGGAGCAAGCCATTAAGTTTATGCAGGTGGCATTTAAAAGCCTTGAGAGCAAAGCCCTCACCCTCACCTCCCAGCCAGATGATCAGCCATGTCCAGCCTTAGTGATCAATGGGGTGACTACATCCAACAGAGCAAGCATGGCGGGTATGTCCTGGCTGAGGAAGTAGAGATCAACCTCCATAACAGGGGATTCCAGCAACATTCGTCACCAAGCCAATAGAAATGTGGAGGGAGGGTTCAAAGAAAAAGTATATTTGATTATTCGTGTATTAACAGCAGCTAGGATTTTATTTGCTCAGAATTGGAAAAGTGATAAAATACCAACAGAGAGAAAAGTGATAGAGAAAATATTTGAATGTGCAGGGATGAACAGATTAACACTGGGGATTAAAGAAAAAGAAGAAACTGAATATTACATGATATGGGACTTATTTTATCAATAGTTGGAAAATAAAACAAGTTAAAACTGAGTTGATGAATATATAGAGGAATAAGTTAAGATTGTTGTAAAGGAATAGATATTAGAAATAATGGCTTATAAAGAAAATGTGATTATTGTTATAATGGTAAGAAAAGCATTAATTATAATTGTTATGTACCCAGTCAATACATTGTATGAATGAAAGATGAAATTATTGTAAATATAAAAAATAAAAAAAAATTATTAAAAAAAAATGTGGATGGGGGCGCACACAAAGTGGTCCTGGACATGGAGAGATGCTCGGACTAGTGTAGCTATGGAAATAGAACCCCTATGTGAACTGCAGGAGGGGACTGCTAAAAATCCATCCGGCTGAGGCTAAAATGAAACTGGGAAAGAATTGAAGCTGAGGCAAGAGGTGGGGGCTTTAATGCAAGAGCAGAAGAAGGCCAATCCTTGAATTCTACCAGATTACTAGGACTTGTGGGGTGTGTTTAAGGACAAGGGTTCAGATGAATTCCCACCCCACCAGTGGACAATGGAATGCCAGGTAGCTTTTGAAAAAACTTAAATGGTTGTTTATTATTGAACCAGTACTAAAACACTCAGACCCTAATGCCCCATTTATTATTCACGTGGGTGTTAGCAATGCGGCAGTGGGAGCAGTTCTTTTACAAAGGAACAGCCAGGGTGCCCTACAACTTCCAGGAAACGACGGACACTGAATGGCAGTGGGTGGTTTGGGAGAATGAGGATTGTTATGTCTCACCTTTCCAATGAGGATGGAAAGTCCACAACTCTGACAAAATACAGGCAGGCAAGAAGATTCAGCAGTTATAGAGTTAATTCTTTGAAGCAGGCAGTGTTCTTGGCAGTATCACACACGCTGCCTGCCAAGTCCGACAAGATAACAGGAGCATAAATCACGAAGGCCCCCAATAAACAGGATACACCGAAGCTCCACAGAAAAACTCACACTTTGTCCCATACGGAGCTCTCAGAGAAAACACACCCACTTTTATCCCCTGTGGGGTGTGTCAGTCACTCAGCTCAGTCTCTGATTCGTCCCCGCTTGCTGCGTTGCAGCTCACACTTTTTCCTGCGACGCTGCCTCGCATCAAGCCAGCATTCGTCTACTTGATTCTCTGTCAGAGGCTGCTCCGATATGCCCTCCTCCTTCTCCTGATTAGCCTCAGGCTTTCCCTCTCGGTTATCTGCCGACACCTGAGGCACAATCAGGGAGGAAGGCATTGCCGAAGAGGAAGGTCCTGGGGAGGAAGGCATTCCCAATTCCTCCTCTTCCCCATCGTCCGCTTCCTCTAACAATGCAGGCTCAAGCCTCAGAGCCACAACAGAGGATTATGCAGTGCATTGGGCACTCTTAATGTGGAGGCATTGCTTGGAAGGGAGCAAGGCCCCTTTAGAGTTCTGGACTGACCACAAAAACCTAGAAGCCCTAAAAACACCCCAGAGACTATTGCCCAAGCAAGTTCAGTGGGCTCAGTTCTTTAATCAATTCAACTTCACTCTTCACTACTTCCCAAAGAGAAATAATTTTTTAGCTGATGCACTATCCAGAATGCCCCAATAAAACATCTCCGAGCAGGAAATAGTAGACTGGTTATTCCGTCTCACCAGCTTATGGCACTAGTCATCACTCGAGCATAGGTGAAAGCAAAACCCCAAATTTGGGAAGGCATAGTGGACATTCTAAAAGTAGCACTAGAGGGAGACAAATGGTTCCAATCTCACAAAAATGAATGCACAATGCAAGGTGGCCTAGCGTGGGTGGGGGCTAAGCTGTATGTTCCGAAAAACCAAATACTACAAATCCTGGAGAAAAGCCGTGATTCAAAGACTGCGGGACATTTTGGTTTTGTAAAAATGTTACACCTGATTAAGTGCCAGTTCTGGTGGCTGTCACTTAAGAAAGACATTCAAAGTTATGTGGCCATAAACACCAGGACTCCTCCAACCATTGACAGAACCTAACACCCCCTGAAAAGAAGTTTATATGGACTTCATAGTAGAGCTACTGGAAAGCTCAGGAAACTCAGTGATTTGAGTGATCACTGATTTGTTGTCCAAACAAGTCCATTTTGTGCCCTGCCAAAAGATCCCTTCCGCCCGTACCTTGGCTAACTTGTTCATCCACCACATCTATAGGTTGAATGTCGCTCCGCAGTGGATAATTTCCAACTGAGGACAGGACATGGTGCCCATGTTTGAGCTGCCCATGCCATTAATCCCACCCCGTTCCATCTTTAACAAACTGGGTTGCCCAGCTACAAAATTCCTGGCCCATCATCAGAAAATAATTGGAGGAGGGAAGAGAAATTTATAAAAAGCACACAGGCAAAAATTGAACAAAGCCCCAAAACTTAAAAATAGGAGACCAGGTCTACCTCTCCATTAAATACCTGAAATCCAGACAATCTTCCAAAAAACTGGGACCAAAGTACGTTGACCCTCTCTCTATCAAAAGAATGATCAATATGGTCACAGTGGAGCTCAAACTGCTGAAATCCCTTAGATGCATTCATCTGATTTTCCATTGTGGTTTGCTAAAATCAGAAACTCAGTCCTCTCTGTGCCCAACGCTGGCTCCACCACCCGAGCCACTCATGATTCAGGGGGAACAACATTTTGAAATTAAGGACATTTTACACTCTCGTAAACACTGAGGAAAGCTCCAGTGTCTAGTGGCATGGGAAGACTTTCCTCCTTCTGAGGCTGAATGGGTAGACCTTAAATACATTAAAGCACCCAAACTCTTCAAATGTTTCCATAAGCAATATCCTTATAAACCAAAATAGTTCCCTATTTTAACTGTATATCTACTTGTTTCTCTCTCTGTTGTATGTTTCCGTTGATGTCCTTGTCAAGAGGGGCAGCATGTCATATCCACCAGCTTCAGCTTAGCACCGTGTCAGTGTTCTGCCCTCAATCGGGGAAGGGGGGGGACAAATGGGCCATAAAGCTGTATACCCTTATTATGGGAAATTGGGAGGAGAGAATTGACAGTTGAGAAATGAAAGTGGGTTTTGGAATCAAGTTCATGCTGGCGCACTGGCATCTTCAAGGCCATTTGCCCTCAGAGTGGAATTTCACCAACCCAAACACTTCAGTATTTCCCAAAACATCTCGGCAGTGCCGAATTGGCTCCACATGGACAGATCACAGTGGAGGGCTAGGGGAAACCAGGGGTTTAGTTCTGTATTTATGTGTGGGAATTTTAGATTCTGCTTGACTTTACTGCTATCAGCATCTCTTAGTAAAACTGCCTTTCACTTCAACCAAATTGAGTAGAGAGTTTTATTGATCCATAAAGAATCAGACTGGGGCAGGTCTGACACAATGTCATACTTAGCATTAATTATATATTACAAGCAATCTTATGCTAATTAACATTTTAGGAATTATATTTAACATCAATATAGCTTTTGTCCTCATCTTTAAAAGTTTAACTTACACAAAACATTATAGTGTTAACAATTTCTAATTTTTTATTGTAAAATATAACCATAGTCTGCTATTATCTGTATTCTACAATGCATTATTTTGATTTTATAATGTAATAAAACAATTAATTGGGGGACAAACCTACTTCTCAGTGTTCACAGAGCATTCTAAAAATTGAATCCATATTATATTTATCTGTTGTATGGAGGAGATTATATATAAGGAAGATTGGATGCTCTCCTTGATGGCTAATATCTAAGAAGCTACATTCTTTATTCAGTTTCAGTAGGATCAAGCTGAAAACCTAATTAAATATATTATCCATGACAGCCCATTGTACAGTCGTTCATTGTAACTCAGGATAGGCTAGTTAAGATCGTAGTATGATTGAATGAACTGTGAGAAACTTTAGTTGTTTTTTATTAAATTCTTTATATCTATGGAAAACCTTCAAATAATTATTTTCAATTCTATAACCATATTTTTAGGAATTGCTTCTTATTCTGTAAGTAGCACAATGGATAATATATTTTGAGAAATCTGTAATTTACACCTAGGAACAGTAGCATGCAATAAGATCAGGTTTGCATTGTCAATTCATATCAATTTAGGTCAGATATCTAATTCAATCTGGAAAATCAGTTTGATGCTATAACTAATAAAATTACATCATTTGGAAATCCAGTTTGATTCAGGGAAAAAATAATTTTTCCTGCATGCACAGAAGATCTTCTAAATTATCAAATTGGAGTAAATTCGGACTGATTTAGAAACACAGTCAAATTCAAACTGAATTTCTATTAAAACTTTGCATTATTCAGTGAATACTCTTATTGCCATAATCTCATTCTGTAGGGATAAGATACCATGTTTTGGAGGCAACGCGTATTAGGGCAATTGAAGTGCTGAAATAAGGTGTTATTAATATTTTTAAAAAATAAATATTTCCTTGAATAGGTGGCAACGCAACAACTGGGATGTTGATATTAAAGTGACAAAAGAACATTACAGTATGGTAGGAGGTAACCTGGAAATCAATAATCCTGAGAAGTCAAGGGATGAAGGAACATATGTTTGCATAGCATATAATATACATGGAACTATAAGAAGCCGGGAAGCAACGTTAAACTTTGGATGTAAGTGGTCTTTACAGCAACCTTTACCTTTACACAAACTCTTTGAAATGGTGTTCAATAGGTTGGTATGCTAGACTGTGTTGTTTCTCTGTGTCATATAATATAGGTGGGTATATGCATAATATTGTATTTATTTATTTTGTCATGTTTATATAATATGTATTGGAGGTGGTGACCCTTTGAGAGCTGTATGCAACAAAACTTCACCTCAGCTGTTCATCCGGATTTCGGGCAGGGGGAAATAAGGCACTCACGATATCCATAAAGATGAGACTTTATTCTTTCATCCACTTCTCCGGTTTGGGTAAAAATGAGCAAGTTAAATTAAAGTCAGCTCTGGCGCTCGTTGCAGCCAGAGCTGTATTTATACATATTCTAACAATGTAATTAGCGTAGCTACCATCTGGTAGCAGCTACCGCTCAATATCTGGCAGTTTCGTGGAACCGCATGTACTGTGTATTCAGCTGTTCCGTGTCCACCCACACTCCTCGTACCCTCATGACACCACAGATTACTACCACCCTCGTGTCCAATTACATCCTTTCCCCCCTGGATCCATTAGTGGAACGTCCAGCACCCAGCGTATCCAACACGCTGCTAATTGCCGCAGACAGCACTCGACAGGTCGGCGTCTGACGTCATCAGTTGGTCCGGGCCGTTCGTTGGCAACCGGCACTCATCATCTCGTCAGCAACTATGAGTCCACATCTCGCTCGCTACTCTCTAGGTTCTGCGCCGAATGCTGCAGAGGGTGGACGTTCAGCATAGGATCAGATGTTGGTGTCACGGCTCCAGGCAAGCCGGTGGAGACGTGACACTTCATTTTAATATATGCCGATTTGTGACAATAAAGTTAGTCTAAGTCTACTGACTTAATTCTAGTTTGACTTATTTGACAATAAGTCAATGCCCCATGCTGATTGGAACAATATGAAAGAGACACCTTCTCCAAACATAATTACTATTTTTAGATTATTTTTTTTACTGTGATTAGAGTGAGAAAAGTGAGTGAATATGAATAGATCATTTTCTTCTAGATGAAAAATATTTGGGCACTTTTATTATATCTTCTGGATAAACCTATCTGCTTATATGTAATGATGAATTTTACCAGTGCTGGTCTATTACATAGTAGTTTATTAAATCAAACCTTGTGCTTCTAAAATACAAAACTAATGGTATTTTTGCAACATGACTTTATTAAAAAAATAAATCTTATTTCAGTTTTTACTAAAACTGAAAAACTTCCCAAACAGTATTGCTTTAGGATCATTCTCACAACTTTCTAGTGCAAAGTTAACCTGCCAATCATTTGTGGAAAACATTTCTTGATGATACATCCCTGCTTTCTTATTAGTCTATTGATAAGAGGTATGCTATTAACTTTAGATATTTTAGCTTCAAGGTCTTTTTAGAATTGCCACATGGATTTGTTTGAATCCATAAAAGTAGATCTTCCATGAAGTCATATTAGTGCTCCTGATGTTGTAATTCAACTTTGCCTGTCTGGATTTGAAGCTGTGAATTTGTTAAACATGAGGAGTAATAGGTTTGATTACAGATTAACAGAGTTGGAAGTGACCTTGTAGGTCAGGGGTCCTCAAACTTTTTAAAAGGGACCAATTCATAGTCCCTCAGACTGTTGATTTGCCTAATGACCGCCTGGGTAGGCGTGGCTAGATGGTCATGTGATTGCATGGGTGTGGCTAGGTGGGCATGTGTCCAGTTTGATTTGGATGCCTGGAAAATTCTCATCTCTTGGGGAATGTTGAAAGAGGAAGGGCGATGTGGATTGCAATAACGGAAGATGGCCCTGAAAAACTCTTCTTATCTCTTTCTCAGAGAGGCTGATACAGCAACATCTTCACACCTGCAGATTGGTGGAATCCACATCGGACTGTTGGGAGGGGTCTCTAATTTCCTTTATCCTAGTTGTATGCCCTGAGGGACCTCAAAGCCTGCTTTGAATTTTGACTTTCACCCTTTTTCAATAAAAGGTTTCTTTCGAAACACAAAGTTTTCAAGAGTCTATACTTACAGATACAGATAATCAGAGTTGGAAGGGACTTTGTAGGTCATCTAGTTCAACCTCCCGCCTAAGCAGGAGACCCTACACCATTTCTGACAAATGGCAGTCCAATCTCTTCTTGAAAGTCTCAAGGGATGACGCTCCCACAACTTCTGAAGGCAAGGTGTTCCATTGGTTGATTGTTCTCAATGTCAGAAAGTTTCTCCTTATTTCCATGTTAAATCTCTCCTTGTTCAGTTTCCATCCATTATTCCTTGTCTGGCCTACAGGCGCTTTAGAAAATAGATTGACCCCTTCCTCTCTGTAGCAGCCCCTCAAATATTGGAAGACTGCTATCCTGTCTCCCCTGGTCCTTCTCTTTACTAGACTAGTCAAGCCCAGTTCCTGTAACTGTTCTTCGTATGTTTTAGTATCCAGTCCCCTAATCATCCTGGTTGCTCTTCTCTGTATTTTTTATAGAGTCTCAACATCTTTTTTATAATGTGGTGACCAAAACTGGATGCAATACTCTAGGTGTGGTCTTACTAAGGATTTATAGAGTGGTATTAGTACTTCACTTGATCTTGATAATATCCCTCTGTTAATGCAACTTACAATTGCAATGGCTTTTTTGGCTGCTGCTGCGCACTGCTGGCTCATATTTAGCTGGTTGTCCACTAAGACTCCAAGATCCCTCTCACAGTTACTGCTATTAAGCCTGGTTTCACCCAATCTATATGGGTGCTTTTGGTTTTTCTTGCCTTAGTGAGAACTTTACTTTTCTCTCCATTGAATTTCATTTTGTTAGATAGGGCCCAGTGTTGAAGTCTGTCAAGATCCATCTGGATCATGAGCCTATTTTCTTAGGTGTTAGCTATTCTTGCCAGCTTAGTATCATCTGCAAATTTGGTAAGTTCCCCTTCTATTCCCTCATCTAAATCATTTATGAAGATATTGAAGAGTACCGGGCCTAAGACGGAACCTTGTGGCACCCCACTGCTTCCTTCCTTCCATGTAGACTTAGATCCATTAAGGACTACTCATTGAATATGGTTTGTAAGCCAGTTGCAAATCCATCTCGAGATGATTCTATCTATCCCACTTTTTTCTAGCTTACTAAGAAGTAGGTTGTGGTCTACTTTGTCAAGTGCCTTGCTGAAGTCTAAGTATATTATGTCCACAGTATTTCGCTGGTCCACTAATTTAGTCACTATGTTGAAAAATCAAATAAGATTGGTTTGGCATGATCTATTTTTAGGAAACCCATGCTGACTGATAGTTATTATTTTACTTGTTTTTAGATGTTAGCAGATCTGCTTTTTATTATATTTTCCAGTATTGATGTTAGGCTAATTGGTTTGTAGTGTCCTGGGTCTATTTTTTTCCCTTTTCTGAAGATGGGAAATGCATCAGCTCTTTTCCAGTCCTCTGGTAGTTTCCCAGTGCTCCAGGATTTTTGAAAGATGTGATGCAGTGGTTCTGAGTTGTCCTCTGCCAGCTCCTTTAGAACTTTGGTATGTAATCCTTCAGGTTCCAGGTTTTTGTGTTCATCGAGATCAGACAGATGTTCTCTTACTTTTTTTTTTGCTTATTTTAACTTTTATTTCTAGTCTGTCTTTTACAGTTATGTTTTTGGTAGGTTGGGATATAGTTTCTTTTTGCGTAGAGACTGATGCAAAGAATGGATCTTCAGCCTATCTTCTAGGGCAGGGTTGTCAAACTCATGGGCTGTGGGCCGGATGCATCATGTGCTGGCCCCGCCCGCCCCCAGTTTAGCAAACAGGAAAAAAGTCCCAAAATATCACATGATGACGATGAGACAACATGAATTTGACACTCCTGATCTAGGGTGTTGGCTAATCCTGCCATCTTACTGTAGTATCATCCACAAATTTGGTAAGTACCCCTTCTATTCCCTTATCTAAGTCGTTTATGAAGATATTGAAGAGTATTGAGCCTAAGATGGAACCTTGTGGTACTCCACTGCTTCCTTCCTTCCTTCCATTAAGGACTACTGGTTGAGTAGGGTTTGTCAGCCAGTTACAAATCCATCTGGTGGTGATGCTATCAATCCCACATTTTTCTAGCTCACCAAGAAGTATGTTGTGATCTACTTTGTCAAATGCCTTGCTGAAGTCTAAGTACTGTATATTATGTGCACAGTATTTCGCTGGTCTATTAATTTAGTCACTATGTTGAAAAATGAAATAAGATTGGTTTGGCATGATCTGTTTTTAACAAACCCATGCTGACTTCTAGTTATTACTTTACTCGTTTCTAAATATTGGCAGATCTGTTTTTTATTATCTTTTCCAGTATCTTCCCAGGTATTGATGTTAGGCTGATTGGTCTGTAGTTTCCTGGGCCTGAGTTTTCTCCTTTTTTGAAGATGGGAATCACACCAGCTCTTTTTCAGTCCTCTGGTAGTTCCCCGGTGCTCCAGGATTTTTGAAAGATGTGGTACAATGGTTCTGAAATGACATCTGCTAGGTCCTTTAGAAATCTGGGATGTAATCCATCAGGTTGCAGTGATTTGTATTCATCAACATCGGACAAGTTGTTTCTTTTGCTTATTGTAACTTTTATTTCTAATCTGTCTTTTACAGTTATGTTTTTGGTAGGTTGGGCTATAGTTTCTTTTCGTGTGAAGACCAATGCAAAGAATGAGTTAAGCAGCTCTGCTTTCTCTCTGTTGCCTGTCACTTCCTTGCCATCTTCTCTCTTTAATGGACTGACTGTTTCCTTGATTTTTTTTTCTTGTTATTTATATGTTGGAAGAAAACTTTTTTATTATCTTTGACTTTTGTTGCAAGTCTTTGTTCATTCTGAGCCTTGCTTTCCTGACTTTGTCTTTCCTGGCTATCTGCTTATATTGTGCCTTAGTTGTATGTTCTTCTTTCCATTTTTTTTTATTTTTCCTTTTTGTCTTTCAATTTGTCAGAGAGATCTTTGTGCAGCCATGCTGATTTCTTCTTGGATTATTTGCTTTTCTTTTTCAGTGGTATTGTGCTGGTCTGGGCTTTTATGATCTTATTTTTCAGAGTTTCCTAAGTTTCTCGAGTTGTGTCAGCCCCCACTAAGTTTTCTTGACATCTTTTGCTGCTTGCTTCCAGTCATAGGAATGGTGGGAGGGGTAATTCTGATATTTGGAGGTGAAGGGTGCTGGAGAGTGAAGATGTTTTTGTGTGAACTAAAAAGGAGGGGATATTTTCCTGCTTCCTGCGCATCTGCATAGACTTATCTCTACTAAGCCAAGGTCAACCATCTTGGCATACCAGATGACTGAGAAACCACCTGAAGATGTACCCCACATCTCATTATAAACTCCTCAGATTGGGTGACCAGTCTGGACTCTTGGGGGAGGGAACTTGCATAATTTTCAATAAATAATTTCATACCTATTTGGTTCACATCTTGCTTTTTTTGTTGCTATCACTTCAAACTCAATAAAAGTACGTTTTCTCTACATCAATGGAGTTGAAGGAATTATTTCTTGGGTTTTGAATGAGGCACAAGTTGTTTTCCCCTTTAGAATTTTCATCCAAGGTATCTTTCCCAAGTTCTCTCTGAGTTTGTTAAAATCAGCTCTTTTAAAGGGGCTCTGGTATCATTATGTTCTATTGCTTGCATTTGCATTATATTGAATTCTAGTATGACATAATATCACTCAAGATTCCTGCGATTTCAACTCCCTCTATCGCTTCTTTGTTTTTAAGATTTAAGTCCAGTATAGCTGTCCCTCTAGTTCCATCCTCTACCTTTTGGACAACAAAGTTGTAAGCTAGGTTGGTCAGGAACCTATTCAATTTCTCACTTGGTGTGGAATTAGTCTTCCAATTGATGTCAGAGTAATTGAAGTCCCCCATTACTGTTGTAGTGTGTTTTTACATATATTTGTTAGTTGGTTGTCAAAATGTACCTCTATAATGCCTATAATATTCACCTATGGCCATGTCATTCTTTTTTTTTTCTTTTATATTGACCCATATGCATTCTAGGAGGTTTTCGTCTTTGGTTTCATGCATTTCTGTAGCAATATAGTGATCCTTTACATACAGTGCAAAATTCACCTCCACTTTTATGGGGTTTATTTTATTTTTTCGAAGTGTTTGTATCCTTCGATAAGTATGTTCCAGTCATGGATTTTGTCCCGCCAAGTTACCTTCATGTAGATATTAATAGTTCCAGTTCATCCTGTTTGTTCCCCAAACTTTGTGCATTTGTTTATGGGCACTTGAGATCTTTATGTCTTTATCTTTTATTTAGTGTTTGAGTCTGTCTTCCTTCCCATCCCTCCTTACCTCATGTCTGACTCTGGATATGCTTCCTATGTCTCCTATTTGTATTTGAGTCTGTGTTCCTTGCCATCTCTCCTTACCTTATTATTTGCTTTGTTTTCTAGGGGGGGTTGCTTGGAATTAGCTCCTTGGGATAGGTTGCCCTTCCTCCTCAATTTTAGCTTAAAGCTCTCCTGATAAGTTGAGCCAGTCATTTTCCAAAAACATTCTTCCCAGTCTTTGTGCAGAATAGCCCATCTCTTGCCATGGAGGTAGTGCACATTTTGGTGACACCAATCCTATAGCCGGTGGTTCACTTCTAGAATCCTTTGTTCTCTTACCCGATGTTGACCTTTTGTTGGCAGTACAGATGAAAAAATTACTTGTGCACTTAACTCCTTAACTTTCTTGCTTAGCTGCTCGTAATCACTCAATATTGTTTTCAAGTCCCTTTTTGTGTCATTCGTCCCTACATGTAGTAATAGAAAAGGGTAGTAATCTGTGGATTTAATTATTTTGGTTAGGTTCTCAGCCAAATCCTTGATTTTTGCTCAAGGTAGGCAATATACCTCCCTATATTGTATGTTCAGTCTGCAGATGGCTGGTTCTGTTCCTTTGAGAATAGAATCTCCTATCACCAACACTCACCTCTCTTTTTTAGGGGGTGCAGTCTGTGATCTTTTCTGTTTATCCCAGGAGTGTTGTTGATGTGACTTCTTTAAGGATATTTGATGATGTCTCTTTTCGAAGTATTTGCATATTTTCTTTGAGGGGGAGGTTGTGGGTTTGAGTATTTTCAGCTAGGAGGAGAAATTGGTTGTTCAGTTTTAATGGGGCTGCTTCTGATTGGGTTAAGTTGGGCAGCAGGGGTTTGTTAGATGTGTTTTTCTGCTTCTTTCTTTTATTATTATGTTTCCTTCTATATGTGACATATCTCCATTTGTCTTCTTCCAAGAGTTTATCAGCAGGGTCAAATCCTTTGGGAGTTATTTGTTCATTATTTGGTTCAATTTGGGCATAGCTTTTCACATTCTGTTCTGGTTAAATATTTCAACTTGTACATTATGTGAATATATACAAATCTATCAAAAAAGCAGCTAGAATTTTTGTAATCTCTTAGTCTCCAGTGTTGTCCAGATTTTTATGCCCCAGGTGTGGTAGTGATATTTTATGACAAGTTAAATCTATTTATTTATTTATTTATTTATTTATTTGTTGAATTTATATTGCCGCCTATTCACCCATGGCGAATCATTTTAACTGATATAAGAATAAATGTGTATGATCCTTTCTTCCTGCTTCCTACCACTGTTTCATTTTAGAAATCTATCTTTGTTCACACTCTCTCCAAGTGTTTTTTTAAAGGAAATAATCTTTTCAAATATTATGTGTGCTAAGTATTCATTTTATAGCAAACTACTTATTTTATTATTCTTTCATATTAGGATCAAAAGGCTATGTGCCAGATATCAGAGTGAAGTTCAAAGATACATATGCACTTTTAGGACAAAATGTGACGCTAGAATGCTTTGCACTTGGAAAGTACGTATGCTTGAATTTAGTGATATACATGGCAAAATGTGATCTGTTTTGGCCAGAGATGGGTAGCTTTATTCTGCTATCAGAAGTAATCCCAAACATGAATTTGAAAGAGTTCTCAGTGCTTCCTATCACTCATTCTTTGCACTTAAGTCAACTTTATATATAAACTTCACATATTTCTCCTTCATGCATAAGGTTCCAAATATGGTATGACTTAGCATTACAGCTACAAAAAAGCATTGAAGGTGACAATGAAATTGCCCTTAATAAAACTCACCAAACATTCTCTAGTTTATTATCCAATTGTTATGAATTCAATTTATTTTATGATTCAGGTTCTTGTAGAAGGATGTTATTAAAACATTGCTGTATAACTTGCTTACTTGACAAAAAGAAAATATTGTTTTAATATATTGGCATTAGAGGTATGTAGAGGCAATGCAGAATTTATTCATTCTCTCTTAGGCAAGTGAAGGAAGCAGATTGAGAAGGGGAAGGGTCATGTCATTGGGCAGTAAAACAACAGCTAAGTGAAATTTTTGCTTAAGAAATTCTCTCTTGTAATTGTGAAACATAAAGAGGAAAGCAGAAGCTGAAGTGACTTAATAAATGAAAGATCGAACAGCTAATCAAAACTGAATTAAAATGTGTCCTATTTTCCTTAAGCCCTGTTCCTGAGCTTAGATGGAGTAAATATCTTGAACCAAAGCCAAGCAGTGCAGATATAAGCATGTCTGGTGCAGTTCTAAAGATCTTCAATATTCAGTTTGAAGATGAAGGAATATATGAATGTGAAGCTGAAAATTACAGAGGAAAGGATAAACATTCAGCAAAAGTGTATGTTCAAGGTAAGTAAAATTTCTTCATGCATTTCATCACTGAAAAATACATTTATACATATTTATCCCCTATCATTTTAAAAAGTTGGTTTTTTAAAATTTCATAAATTAATGAAACATTTTGCACAGTGAATGAACTTTTGAAAACTGAGTATTTCAAAAGGAATTCTTTATTGAAAAGGAAAAGATCCAGGTGATGTTCAAAGCAGGGTCTAATATGCCTCCAGGCATGCAGCTTAGATAAAGGGAGTTAGAACCCCTCCCCTTAGTTCGGTGTGGATTTTGTTAATACAAAGAAGCAACATATTAATTCCACCCACCCCATTTTTTTCTGGGAACATAGTTGAGAAGAGCTTCCTAGGAAGTTTCTTTCGGAGCTGGAATTTTTATGGTCCTTTCTCCTCTTGCTATCTCTCCAAGAGGTGACAAGTTTCCAGGCATCTGGGCTCCAGTCCCCAGTTGTATATCATGTGCAATTTATACAGATTCAATATAAGAATTAAGATAGGTTAGGTTTCAGGTTACATCCAAAAGGATTACTTGTATCAAACACCTCCCCTTCTTCTTCCATTGAAGAATGGCAGATACACGGATCTGACATATTGCCTTCCTCAAAAAATTGAGAAATCCACCTGGAAGACATAAAACATGTGTTACATTTACAATTTAGGATGGTTTGTGAGGGTATTTCAGGTGGAACCTCCATAGTAATGTGGGTGCTTTTCATGTCATTTGGCTACCCACTCATTTTGTGAGGAGAGAAGGTGTTTTCAAGCTACTAAATATTGTGTGGGTCCACGGTCAGTGTGTGAATCAAGGATATCTTTAATTTCAAAATGTTGTTCCCATGTACCATAATGGGAGTTAGAGGTGTGGGGGGGGGGGGTGTCTAAGTTTTGAAGTAATCTCTGGTTTGAGTAGGCTGCAGTGAAATACTGGATGAACCTGACTAAGTGTTTTGGGAAGTAGAAGCTCTACAGTAACAGGATTAATAATTCTGGAGATGGAAAATGGGCCAATGAATTTTGGTCCCAGTTTCTTAGACAGTTGTAATAATTTTAGGAACTTTGTAGATAAATATACGTGGTCCCGACTTTGAACGTTTTAGGATCACAGCATGTAAGGCTAGTCTGACCACTGGCCAAGTGGTTTGCAAATTATTTATCCACTCCTTAAGGGAAGGAATTTCAGGTTCCTTGATAGGTAGCTCTGGCATGGGGTTGAATTCTTGTCCTGTGGCTACCTGGAATGGGGTGAAACCAGTGCTACTGTGAACCGAGTTATTGTATGGTACCTCTGCAAAAGGTAGAAGTTCAGTCCAATTGTCCTGTTGGTAATTAATAAAGCATCTTAAATATTGTTCTAATACGCTATTAGCGCTCTCTGTCCCGCTATTGGTCTGGGGATGATTCGATGAGCTCAACTCCTGGGTGGAGCCTAATAGGTTTAAAAACGCCTGCCAAAATGTGGGTGTGAATTGTACACCCTTATCTGAGATAATCCATTGGGGAGCTCCATGAAGGCAATAAATGTGTATTAAAAACATCTTTGCCAATGCCTTGGCTGTTGGGATCTTTTGGCAGGGTACAAAATGAATCTGTTTTGTAGAAAGGTCTATTACAGTACAGTACAGTATTTCCTGCACTTTCAGGAAGCTCCACTATAAAGTCCATAGAGATCTCTCTTCAGGGTGCTGAAGGTTCTGCCACTGTTTGTAAAAGTCCAGGCGATTTCCCTTGTCTTCTTTTTCAGCAGCGCAGATAGGGCAACTAGCAATATCTTTTTTGAGAGATGGCCACCAGAATTGTCTTTTGATGAGGTGAGAGTTTTTTACAAATCCAAACTGTCCAGCTATTTTTGAGTCGTGGCATCATTTCATGAGGTCCGCTCTTTGGCTGGCAGGGACGTAAAGTTTGTTTTCTACCCAGGCCAGACCGTCTTGAATAAACAAATGTTTTTGTTAGCCTGGAGCCAGTTGTCCTTAAGTAGTGCCTCCTTAAATTTGGAAATCGTTGCATTGGCAGTCAGTGGTTCGTTCTTCCCTTGTGCTTGGGTGATTACTTTGGCTGCAAGTTGGGTTGGTTGGATCATGGGTTTTACAACTTCAATCTTTTTGCTGTTGTATTGGGGTTTTCTGGACAGGGCATCTGCCAAGAAATCAACCCCCCCCCCCCCCCCCCCCCGGGAGATATTTGAGAGTGAAATTAAAACATTTAAAATATTGGGCCCAGCGGACTTGCTTTGGGGAGAGTTTCCATGGAGTTTTCAAGGCTTCTAGATTTTTATGATCAGTCCAGACTTCAAAGGAAATTTTGTCTCTTCTAGGAAGTATTTCCATGTGAGGAGTGCTCATCGCACAGCATATGCCTTTTTCTCCCTTATGGGCCATCTTTGCTCAGTTTCTGTCAGTTTCTTTGAAGTAACTGCAACTGTCCACATCCATTCTTTTGGAGTAGAACTGCTCTAACTGCTACATCGCTAATGTCTGCTTGGATGACAAATGGTTGTTCAGGGTCTGGGTGTTTCAAGATTGGTTCTGCTGAGAATAGTTAAGTTTTTCAGATGGCACTTGGTATTCCATCATCCAGATAAGGGGTTGCCTTGGCTTTGGTTACACCCCCCCCCCCCATTTCCATTTTTAACAGGCTTGTGATGGGGAGGGCGATATTCGCAAAAGCTGGAATGAACTGATGGCAAAAGTTTGCAAAACCCAGGAAGCTTTGCAGTTATTTGCGAGTATGGGGCGGCTCCCAATCGATGACAACTTTTACTTTTTGTGGGTCCATCTTTATTCCCTCGTGGGATATTCTATATACCAGGTAGTCATTTTTTTCTTGATGGAACTCACATTTAGAGAGTTTTGCATATAATTTGGTGTTTTGGAGTTTTGTGAGAACTGCTCGGAGTAATTTTATATGCTCTTCTTTTGTTTTGGTGTAGATTAAAATGTCATCGAGATAAACTAGAAGCCCTTTGTACAAAAAATCATGGAGAACCTCATTAATTAGTTGCATAAATACAGCAGGTGCTCCTGCCGTATTTATGCAAGGGAACATTTTAAATTAGTAGCATCCCAGTGGGGTGTAAAAGCTGTCTTCCACTAATTCCCCTCCCTTATTCTGATGTGATAGTATGCCTTTTGTACATCTAACTTTTAAAAAAAATTCCTTTAGCAAGGTGAGTTAGCATGTCCTTCTTGAGGGGGAATGGGTACATATTTTCCATGCTGATGGTGTTCAGATTTTGAAAATCAATGCATAGGCCATCTTTCTTTTCATGGAATAATACTGGGGCTGCTATTTTCCGTCAGGTAGATTTGATGAAACCCAGTTTTAGATTTTTATCGATAAATGCTCTGAGTTCATTTAGTTCTCTGGGGGACATGCAGTACATTATCGTTTTGGAAATTTAGCCCCTGGTAGGATTTCAATGGCAAAGTCTGTGTCGCGATGAGGCCAGAGTTCATCAGAAGCCTCCTCGCTAAATACTTGGGCTAAATCCTGGTACTCTTTGGGGATGTTAATGGGTTCAGCTGGCTGGCTGGCCATGGCTGGTTCTCTGTTCTCTTTGCTTTCTTTCCCACCCCTGGGATGTTTGCAAATACTAGATGTTTCTGGAAATGTACAGTTCCTCTCTTCCAGTTTATTTTTGGATTCCATTTCTGTAGCCATGTGAGTTCTAGGACTAGTGGCCCTTCCATTCCTGGGGCTACAATGAAGGTGAGCATCTCACTCTGGTTCTCCAGTTCTATTTTCAACGGTTATGTGGCAAAACTGACTGGCTCACCCCCCGGCTATAGTCCCATCTAATTGACAAAAAGTGATGGGGTTTTCCATTTTCCTTTGGTGGATTCCCAATTTCCCTTACTAGGATGGGGTTGATTAAGCACCAGGTGCATCCCGAATCCAGTAATGCTACTATTTCCTCCCCCTTCCCTTGGCTGGGGGTAAACAGTCTTAGGGGTAGAGCGAGTGGTTCAATTGGGTCACTTACCAGCAAGTCGTCTTCCAGATCACTTTCAGATTGGTTCAGGTCTCCTTGGGGCATTGGATTCTTCCTCTGGGTTTGGGGGTGTCCAAAACCTCATGGCTTCTCGGCTTCTCAGGGCAGTTTCCTTTCCTCAGGAGTTGGATTTTCCAGGTTCTCCCCCTGATGGGTGGTCTGGCTTTCTGGCAGGGGTTTTTGAATGGCACTCCGCTGCGCGGTGCCCCTCCTTTCCACGCTTAAAACAGGCAGATGGTCTTGGAGTCATGGTGATTTGGGGTTTGAAAAACTCCTGCTTCCCCTGAGGTGGGGATCTTCTCCAAACCCTGCCGCTGTGATACTGGTTACTGGCCATATCTATGTCCACCTCCTCTGCCATAGGTACCATTCATGCAGAAGGTTTGTGGCCCCACGGGCCAGGCAGGCAGTGTACAGCTTGTCATTGAGTCAATCTTTGAACCAACAAACTAGAATATCTTCTGTTCGTGAAATTCCTCGGTGTTTTCAGCTACAGGGCAACAGCCTTGCTTTTTGACCAAATGCGGTCGTGCAAGGCGGTCTTTGAAGCAGTGGTGTAGGGCTGTCATGAATCGATCAAGGTTCCTCAGCTTTGGGGTGTCAACGTTGTGGAGGGTTACCAACCATCTGGCAGCTGCCCCTTCTAGGGCTAGGGTGATGACTCGGGCCCCCTGGGTTGGGAAGTTCCGCCTGTATTCTTGCATATAGGTGAGGACTTGTGCCAGGAAGAACCCCAATTTCTGGGGGTCCCCATTGAATTTCACCCCCAAGTGTGGGATCTTTCTCTGCAGTTGTAGGGTTGGCCGGGGTTAATCCCCTGCTCTGGAATGGCTAGGGGTCGGATACCTGGCACGGCTGCTGGTCTTCCGGCTTGGTCCATTGCTTGATCAGCTGGATCAGGTGTGATGGCTCAGCTGGATCAGGTGTGATGGCTCGGGTTTTCTCAATTTCTGGTTCACTCGCTCTCCTTCGTTGGCAACCTGGTTCATCCCACACATTGAGGTCCT